CACAACTTCATTCTCCTTCCCAAACTGAAGAAAACCAAGCTTCACAACTTCATTCTCCTTCCCAGACTGAAGAAAACCCAGCATCACAACGAAAAAAAAAAAAAGAGAATGTGATACCAGAACCAAAAAAGAGAGAAAAAAGGATCACACAAGCTTCATAACTTCATTCTCCTTCCCAGACTGAAGAAAACCAAAACAAAAAAAAAACGAAAAAAAAAGAGAATGTGATACCAGAACCAAAAAAGAGAGTAAAAAGGATCACACAAAATCTTCCACGACACCTACGTTCACCATTCATGACAAATAATGAACAGATTGTATTCAAGACACTAAAAAAAATTGTTCCAAACCTTACCACTTAATGTTCCAAACTCATAGACTTAATGTTCCAAACCTTACCTCTTAATGTTCCAGACTCATAGACTTAATGTTCCAAACCTTACCACTTAATGTTCCAAACCTTACCTCATAATGTTCCAAACTCATACTTAATGTTCCAAACCTTACCTCTTAATGTTCCAGACCAGTTACATCAATACTTAATGTTCCAAACCTTAGCACTTAATGTTCCAGACTCATAGACTTAATGTTCCAAACCTTACCACTTAATGTTCCAGACTCATAGACTTAATGTTCCAAACCTTACCTCTTAATGTTCCAGACTCATTGACAAAGCATACAATCTGTTTGAAGATGTGGAGCAAGCCACAGAAAAATGGTACACACTGGAAAGTTTGAAAATGCGACGAAAATGCGATTAATTAGTGATGGGGAAGTGGGAATATAGGGACGAAAATGCGATTAATTAGTGATGGGAAAGTAGGAATAAAGGGACGAAAATGCGATTAATTAGTGGAGAAGTTTTGAAATTTTAAACCGCCTTATTATTTACGGATATGCCATTATTATTATTTAAACCGCCTCATTATTTACAGATATGCCATTATTATTGTTCCAGACTTTTAGCATTCACAAAACCTACAAAACCTACTTCTGTTCTATAAGTGCAAATTATATGCCTATTGTTCCTAACTGGTTTACTTATTGTTCCAGACGTTAACACTTAATGTTCCTAACTTGTTCAAGCATACTTCAAGCATGCATATAAAAAACTTAGAAATGTCTACGCATCCTACACCCAACACTTAATCTAAACAGATGTGAAGTGATTCAACTAATGTGAAATCTACATAAAAGTTCACAATAATAAAAGTTCATAAAAATCATAGTACCAAATAGGAACAACACTTAACATCATAAAAATATCTACGCATCCTACACCCAACACTTAATCTAAAGAGATGTGAAGTGATACAACTAATGTCTCTTCGCTGGCTCTCCGGGAGCTAAAAGGCTGGCTCTCGTGACTTAGAGTGGCGGACTGGCTCTCTTGGCTGGGTGTGGCACATTGCCTAGTAACTGGCATCCTAAAACCACAAGCATTGTTACCCTGCAAGGCAAAACTAGACTCCAATAGTTCAATTATCCAATGCATATATTATCCAATAGTTCAATTATCCATCCAACTTCTCTTTCGACTCCAATTGTTCAATTATCCAACTTCGAAGAACCCTAAATTGAGTATATAGTGGCAGGCTGGCTCTCCTAGCTCAGTGTGGCACCTTGCCTAGTAACTGGCATCCTAAAACCACAAGAATTGTTACCCTGCAAGGCAAAACTCCAATAGTTCAATTATCCAACGCATATATTATCCAATAGTTCAATTATCCAACTTCTCTTTCGACTCCAATAGTTCAATTATTCAATAAAAATGATATTTCACATTTTCACGGTAAATAGATCTCTCTTGTCCCAAACGGGTAATATCTCTTGCCCCAAACGGGTTTACTATTTATATATTTCTTTTAACGAAGGCATTGTAATTTGCAAGAAGCAATTACATCCCCTGATTTCGTCTTTTATACTTGTTGTAGAAGCAATTACAACCATCGCCTGATTTCGTCTTTTATACTTGTTCACAACTTTAAAGAGTAACAACAAGTAAAAGGTACTTGTTGTTCACAACTTTAAAGAGTAACAGCAAGTAAAAGGAAGGAAGTAACCAATAAGAAATGTGAAAATTTCAGTAGTATGGGAGATATAAATTCATAATTACAAAAATGTCTCAAATTTAGTTGCAACGTCCATGGAATTGGCAATTCATGGACGAGCAAGGCCCTCCGGGATTGGTGCTGGAGGGAACGGCCAAATCAACAATAATGAAATTCAAATCAATAAAAAGGCTAATCAAAACTAATTATACTGATTACTATAGAAAATTAAAGGAAATAGTACTCCCTCCGTCCCCTAATACAAAAGCCTCATTTCCTTTTTGGGTAAACTAAAATACATTTCCTCTTTCTATTTAAAGGTTGTATTTTTTGACATTATTACCCTCTTTTTGATGAGTTTTTATCTATTTTCCTTTACTTTTTTATACTTTTAACATCAATTTTCAACATTTTCTCTCTCTATCTCTTCAATTATTCCCAACTACTTTTTCTTTTTCTCCTTCTCTCTCTAACCCCACACGCACATATGCACTTTTAAAGAATTTACAACTTTCTTAATTTACGCGTAAAAATCAAAAAAGGCTTTGTATTAGGGGATGGAGGGTGTAATACTTTAAGTAAATTAATGGTATACGCCAGAGTTATTGTGGATTAACTATATAAGGAAGTGGTGGAGCCAACCTTCTTGAAGGACTCAATCGACGTTAAGTATGAACATTGTTGTCATACAATAAGCTAAGTCTTAGGTGAGAGCTTAGATGTTATATATCTTTTATAGTAATTCTTTTTACGTAAAGCAGACATATAGAGTCACAAAAGATAAATAATGTATATAAGATCTGATCATAAGTTGTTTAGAGTATCACTTACAAAACTATAACCAATTAAGATCGTTGACACTCTCATGGTATCGGAAACGAAGACATCAACTACGAGTACCACAATTGTCGTTTGACCCAAGAAAAAGGAAATTAAAAAGAGCAGATGGGCCAAATCTAGTTGTGGTTAGTTGCATTAGGCCGGCAGTGCAACTAATCCACCTTGCCCAATAAAGTAAGATAAATAGTTAGGCCCTGTTAGTTATATTTTCATTAGATAAGTCCGATATTTGAAAAGTTTTATTTTGAAATTATTTAAGCCTCAAATTTGTAGTTAGGCGAAGGCCCTCAGCAGTCAGCACTAGCATAGTCGGGGATTTGTCATTGTTATTGTTAGGGGGCGCTTGGAATGGGGATAATAAAAGTCAAACTAGGTAAATTATAGTTGTTTAAAGGTATTATTGTAGAGAAACAAGACATTTATGAATGAATTAAGGTTGTAGTGACATAAGGAAAAGAAAAGGGTGGAGGAATCATTACCCTCAAAATGAGGGTAATAGGTTACCCACTCTCCCCCTAGTGTAACCTATTACCCCCAAAATAAGGGTAATAGTTCCCTTTCTTCACCTATCACCACACCATCACTATATAAATCTTTTTACAATCACATCACCACTAGCTCCCCCTCTCCTATGTTTACTTTAATTTTACTTGGTTTGACTTTTATTACCCCTTAATTTATACTCCCAATCCAAGCGCCCCCTTAATGTTAATGGTTAATGGTTAATGTTTAATGTTCAAGCTTAATTTCCTGAAATAACGAATCTAATGAAAATATATCCTTGACAATCAATAAGAAAAGTTCACGAAAATCTAGTCAATAAAAAATTAAGTACGATAAAATAGGTTATGCTTTACCTACTCCTTAATTTATTACGCGCTATTATAATTATATCACGAAGTAAAAGAAAAGGTTACTTATTTTAAAAGTTGCTTCTAAAGCTCGTCAAAGGGCTAGTTTGGAATTAACTTGCCTTGGCTTGGAAAGTCCAGACATGACTTAGGCTAGACTATGCAACATGCAATGATGCAAATGCGTCTTTTGGATCAAAATTAAGTATTAGGGAGAATTTAACTTGTACTCATGTTTTTTACGCTTGTGCAATGCACATAAAGCATGGCTATATGAGCTTGTCTTATACTCCATATCATATATAACTAACCCGGATTATTTGAAAATCATTTCTTAAAAATTAGCTGATGAAATTAAATCTATTTAGTTGTATATAATAAGCTGTTCAACATGTCGACACTAGAATAGTAGAATGTGGCATTTTAGGAATGGACCTAATTGATATACATATGTTATAATAGACATATCTTGAGATTTGTAGTATTCATGAGTTCAAAGTCAACCCTCAAATAACTTTGACGTGCCGTATATCAAACCCGTTGGTTTTATTCAATTATAGGAAAAGGTCTCACTTGATATAGTTGACATTTGACCAACTTACAATCAAACAGAACAATATTGCACTATTATAGCCATACCCTCACTTCTATAATAAACTGATGTTAAGTTGTTAAGTTATTATAGTGTTATCTTAAATACTTCCCTCGTGGTTTTTTTTTTTTTTTTTTTTTTTTTTTTAATTGCATTCTTTGAACATACTTCCTTCGTTTCTATTTAGTTGACGCGTTCTAAATACTTCTTTTTTAGTATGAGAGAAAATGATAAAGCAAATGGAATACACTAAAAAAGAAGGTGTAAAACTTACCTAAAAAGGAAACATCAACTAAAAATAAACTTCCTAAAAAGGAATACGTGTCAACTAACAAAAATAGAGGTAAGTGTATTACGTATTATTCACACAATCCAGTCAAAAAATTTACCTCCACAAACATAAACCATAATTAGTCAATTAATTTTTTTTATTTATTTATTACACCCTTTATTTTTTTGTAAATGCATCACTTTGACCGGCACATTTGCTGAGACGCAACTTTGACCATTAATATTTTTAATTGTCTATTACTCTATTAGGAAAAATTATAACAAAATTATATTATGAAACTAGACATTATGACTAATCAAGTATTATTTTTTTAACACGATATAATACGGGAAGTGCCCCTCCTATCATAAGAGGGGTGAGGTGAAGATCAAACCCACAAACCGTCCCTCCACTCTATAATCCTCAAAAATGGATCCCCAGTTAAACACAAAAAAAAACGGATCCTCAGTTCGTGAATGATGAGATTCATGACCATCGTGCAGTAGTTTTCACTCTTACAGTCTCACAGTCTCCACTCGAAGACCAAACCTCAGGAGGCCAGAAACCCTAATTTACTGTTTCAAAATCAAGACCGACGAATATCATATGAATCATTCCCTCCCCAAATTATCAAAAAATTAAATTCGATAGAATTCAATTTAGGAGAGAATGTCGAAGAAACAAGGTGAGAATCTGAGGAAGATAAACCCTAAAGTTCCTTACTCTGAGGCCACCTCCGTTGCTCAAAATCTCTTCAATTTGATCCAGAATCGTGGCCCTGTCACCATTGGGACTAACGCACAGGTTCATCATCTTTTTTTATCGCGCTCCAAATTAAATTTCCATTGTCCCGTGAATTAAATTTGGAATTTTGATTTGCAATGATAAAACTTTCATATTTTTTCGGAAGACTTTCTGTTTATCAGGAATCTAACTCTAAATAAAGCTTTAACATTTGATTTTCAATATTAGGGCTTTATTTGAATTGAAAATCAGGGGTTTATCTCCTAAAGTTTTGAGCTGTAGTTAATTACCCCTGTTCCACTAATTAAATTTGTAGTTTTGATTTGCAATTATATTGGGTGAATGAAATTATCTATTTTTTATTGTTAAATTGCTGTATATTATTACCTCCTTCACTTGCAATGGCAATGAAGTGGTCTTTACCTCAAGATTGTTGCCAAACATCAATTTTTCCCCTTGTGATCTAAAATACACCAAGTATAGTATAAATTTTATTGATATACTCCATACGTTGTTTACAATTAATCATTGAACATCTTTTATAATTGATAATCGTTGGCATAGTGTTACGTACTTGATTTTCTCCATTTATATTCTTATTTGAATATTGGAGTTCTAATTATAAAGGTGAAAATGTTACTCAACAACCTAAAGGATGCAACTTTGATTCTTCATGCTTTCATTTGTACTATTCTTTACAGGAAAGTAAAATAGGTTAAAGAAATGCCTTGTTGTTAATGATATGGTGTCATGGTGAATTGGAGACGTGGTGCGCATCAATTTTTGCCCTTGCGTTCTAATACACCAAGTATAGTATAGATTTTTATTGATATACTCCATACGTTGTTTACAATTTTAATCATTGAACATCTTTTATCCGCAGATGCTTGTCAATATGTCTCCATCCTTGATTATAGCTGCAGGTGTTTTGTGTGGATTTTGTGCAATACGTTTGGGATGTTTTGTGGGCAATCACACAATTTCTAGCAAGGTATCGCATGTTTTTTCCCGCTTTCTTTATGCCACTTGTTTTGCTAGCTTTAAAACCCATGCCATGCATTAGTGACACGTGTACGTAGTGGGTCCCACCCAACAATGGATTCCATCCAAGAATCTGTTAAGTGGTGGTGATTTTTTTTTTTTATTTAATTTTAATTATTTTTTTGTGGTGTTATAATCCATTTCTATGCTTTCTTTGTGGTGTTATAACTTATAAGTAAAAAAAAAATTGTTATTTATATTTATAGAAATAATTGAATTTTTGTACTAAGGTTTTGTTGCTTAGGTTGATGATACGTACAATGACGGCTACAAGAAATTGAATGGTGAGTCTCCGGCTGATCAGGTTGATGATACGTCCAATGACGGCTACAAGAAATTGGATGGTGAGATTCTGGCTAATCACGAGGATCGCTTCACTCAACTCCCAAATGAGCTTTTGTCTTGCATTCTCACACACATGACATTACGCGATGTTGTGAGGATAACTACATTATCAAAACAGTGGAAAAATATTTGGTCATTGTTATCAAATCTTGACTTGAATTGGCAAGTAATATCCGGATACAATGGCTGTTGTCTTGAAGATGGGTGTGAATTTTACAGACAAGCATATGTGAAGAGGGTGAATAAGGTCTTACTAAAGTGTGGCAATCATGAGATCTCGTCTTTTCGCCTATCATTTTGCTTTACCAAGGAATATGCTAGTCATGTAGACTATTGGATTAGATTTGCTTCTAAAAAGCGCCTTGAAAGCCTTACCCTCCAGTTCGTTTGTGCTGGTCATAGTGATTCACTTTGTCAAATTATGACTTGCGAACACTTGAAGCTTAGGGTTTTGTATACTATCACTTGTTCCTTTCTTTCCCAATTACCTTGTTTGAAGAATCTACGTCTCGATGCGTGCAACTTGAAGCTTCATATTGACTTCAGGTTCAATAAATTGGTTCGCCTGGATTTGTATTATGTGTTTTTAGAGGGAAATCAGTTACAATGGTTGCTTTCAAATTCTTCGACAATTGAATGATTACGAATTAGGTGGTGTAATCTTCCTGAAAAATTGTGCATTGGTGATAACTTGCAGCGACTGAGCTCCTTGGTGATTCATCATATCTATAGCCGGCTTGAATTAGAACTTAATGCCAAGAGTCTAAAATTCTTTGATTTTCGTGGCATGGGAGGTGTTAAAATCTCTTTCTTGAGTGCTGCAAAGCTGGAAAGCTGTAATGTGGTTATCATTGATGATAACTACGAAGGAATAAAACGTATTTTCCGACAATATGCTACTTCTATTCCATCCCTAGAAACACTTATTCTCCAAGGAATGTATTCTTTGGTGCGTAAAAAACATTTAACACTTTGTCTTTTGTTCTTGGCTAGTGTGCTTTCTCTGGATTCATTATAACCCTCATTTGTTTCAGATTCATGTATTACCTGCTCATCCATCCACATTATTTCGGCGTGTTGTGGGGTTAAATCTATATTTTGACGATGATGCTGAAGTTGACATGTTAAAGAATTTTCCCCGCCTTCTGAATTCCTTTCCGCAACTACAGAAGCTTTACTTGATGGTAAGTATAAATAACTTTATCTAAGTAATATTTAATCTATTTCGTTGTAAGAGAACATTTAATGTTAATACATCTTGGTAATAATTCATACCTCTGAGGATTATAGGGTGATGTCACTTGCTTATAAAAGCTCTACGAATTTGTATTGCTATTATAAAGTGACTCATCTTAGAATAGCTACTTAATGTCCAATGAAATATGGAATTGACTTTTCAGAATTGTAGCATTGTGTTGGTATATATAGTCCCTTTCTTACCTTGGAGTAAAATTGACAATCATTCAATCATCTCTTAACGTATTTTTTGTTTTTTCTTTTGGTCCCCCGCCCCTCTTCTTTTGGAGAAGTTAATTGAATTCTTATACACTCCGTATTTAGAAAAATTAATTAAGAAGTTTAAACTATGACCAATAAAAAAAAAATTGGAAATACAGTAAAACGCTGACTCAGTCAGCGTTTTTTTTGTATACATAACAGAGAAAAACGCGCTGACTGAGTCAGCGTTTTACACCTAAGCATAAAACGCTGCCTCAGTCAGCGTTTTATCTGCTGGCTGAAGGCAGCAACAACAGGCCCCCAACAGCAGCCAGTGCACATCCACCAACACCACCACCCTCCTCCTCCACATCCACCACCACCATCACCCTCCTCCTCCACATCCACCACCCTCCTCCTCCAAATCCACCACATCCACCACCCTCCTCCTCCACATCCACCACCACCACCACCCTCCTCCTCCACATCCACCACCACCATCACCCTCCTCCTCCACATCCACCACCACCCTCCTCCTCCATATCCACCACCACCATCACCCTCCTCCTCCACATCCACCACCACCCTCCTCCTCCATATCCACCACCACCATCACCCTCCTCCTCCACACCCCCCCTCCTCCACCACCACCACCCTCCTCCTCCACATCCACCACACCACCACCCTCCTCCTCCACATCCACCACCACCACATCACCCTCCTCCTCCACATCCACCACCACCACACCCTCCTCCTCCACATCCACCACCCTCCTCCTCCACATCCACCACCCTCCTCCTCCACATCCACCACCACCACCACCCTCCTCCTCCACATCCACCACCACCATCACCCTCCTCCTCCACATCCACCACCACCACCACCCTCCTCCTCCATATCCACCACCACCATCACCCTCCTCCTCCACATCCACCACCCTCCTCCTCCAAATCCACCACATCCACCACCCTCCTCCTCCACATCCACCACCACCACCACCACCCTCCTCCACATCCACCACCACCATCACCCTCCTCCTCCACATCCACCACCACCACCACCCTCCTCCACATCCACCACCACCATCACCCTCCTCCTCCACATCCACCACCACCATCACCCTCCTCCACCACATCCACCACCACCATCACCCTCCTCCTCCACATCCACCACCCTCCTCCTCCAAATCCACCACATCCACCACCCTCCTCCTCCACATCCACCACCACCACCACCACCACCCTCCTCCACATCCACCACCACCACCACCCTCCTCCTCCACATCCTCCAACACCTCCACCACCCTCCTCCTCCACATCCTCCACCACCTCCACCACCCATCCTCCTCCACATCCACCACCTCCACATCCACAATTTATTTTGAACGAAATGAGTCAAACGTGGACAAATAAGGAATTTGAAATTCAAACAAGACATAAATTTATTCAAATAATTATTAAAATAATAATGTAATGTAAGTGTTATGTACAACAAACTAGAGAAGGTCATTACAGCAAATAAATCAGATAATTCTATCCTATTCTGACTCATCAATTTGGTGTAACGGCTCTCTATCCTGTATGTCCACTCTCGGCCTTTGACGACGGCTGTAGTGACGGACCATGGTAAATGGGTTCGGGCGTACTGGCGGAGTCAGCTGGCTGAAAGATGGGTCATCAGGATGACGTAGGGGCGCGGAACTGCGAATGTCGTACTCCTCTGCGCCCGTGAATGACGAAGGATCACCCCCACAGCTACTCTGGCCAGCCTCGAACTGTGAGTGACTAGAGTGGCCGCCATGATCGTCCCGGGGGTGGACGAGATAGGCGTGACCATATCTCTGCAAGGTAGCCATGCCCATATCTCGCACCCGCTCGACCTGTGCTCTGGGCGGCTCAGGTATGCCTGGAAGGACGTCCGACAGTGCGTCAACCATCACCGTCATATCCAACGCCTGCAGTAATTAAGGATGAATTAGTTGAATGATATACAAATTTAAAATTGATAAAAATAAGTTAATCAAATACACTTACATATCCCCTGATCACGTCAAAGGATGGATGGTAATGTGCGGATGACGGTGTGTAGCTGGGGTTGATGAAACGCCGTGTAATCCGCATGTACCACTCCATGTATGGATCGTATGGATCCATAACGCCGTAGATGGGGTCACCAGTGACGACGAACTCCAACCGTCGATGCCACAAGTCAATGTTCTGGGCATGCTCTGTCCGCCAGTTCCTGTCGCTCTTTCCCCGACGGTCAATGCGGTGCAGCCGGGCACTAGTGTCACACTGCTAGGGGACAGTCTGTCGTAGTCCAAACTGTCGCATGACTCGATCTGGTAGGTGACCCTCGACGACCTCAAAACAGATAACAGAAAAAATAAAAAATTAGTGCCCGGTCGATCTAGAGGGACACGATCTCTTGTTGTGACCCTGCTGGTGACAGAGGCCGCATTTTCTCGCGGGACGGTTGGTCTCATCCATTTCATTGCGTATGCGTCTTGACTTAGGGCGACCTTGTCCTCGTACCATGCTGTTGTCGGGAATGAGTTTAGGCCCTCCATTCTCTCTCCATGTCGTCTCACAAGGGATAGGCCAGAATTTGGGAGCGTATGTGTTTGCGTAGGCCTCTGATTGCAGTACCCGGTCCACCCATGGCCGCTCTGATATCGAATACTTCACACAAACTGCTAGAACATGAGAACATGGGAGGTGGAAGATCCGTGGTTTATTGCATGTGCACGTTCTTAACTGAAAGTTAACAGTATGTCTATGCATGCAATCTCCACCAATTCGCACAATAACAACCAAGAAATTCACACTACAAACATAATTAACCATATTCACATAACAACCAAAACAAAGTACACAACGAACATATTCACACTAACAACCAACGTATTCTACATAACATAATTTTCGTAATTAAACGACAATGTAGGCTATTTTATCAAATTAAAACAACAATTTCATCAACAATATCAACAATTTCATCAACAATATCAACAATTTCATCAACATTTTCAACATTTTTACCAAACATTCCCACAATTTCATCATAAACTTTCTTACTAAACTAACATCAATTTAGGGCTTTTATACTAAACTATTATCAAATTACAACAAACTAACTTAGAATTATCAACATAATTATCAATTTACATCAAACTAACTTAGAATAATCAACAACATTATCAAATTAAAACAATGTACTATATAATTATCAAACTAACCTAGGTTTTAAAATTTTAAAAACAAATAAGTGAGAAGTACCAAAAATGTGATTATAAAGAAGAGGAGAGGCGCGGCGGCAGCAGGCAGTAGGCGGCGGCGACGGTGGCAGGCAGCAGGCGGCGGCGGCAGCGGCAGCGGCAGCGACGGCAACGGCAGAGCTTTGAGGAAGAGAGAGTTTGAGTTTTTAGTTTTGAGGAAGAGTGAATGCGTTGCGTCTGCCTGGAAGAATATACCAGGCAAAACCGCTGACTGAGGCAGCGTGTTTATAGTATTAATGAAACGCTGCCTGAGTCAGCGTTTTAAGGCCTGTTATAGCCTAACACAAAAACGCTGACTGAGGCAGCGTTTTTGTGTATTTCAGTTTTTTTTATTTTTTATTTTGTATTTCACAAAATACATAATTCAAAACAAATTAAATAAATAAAAATGAGGAAAAACGCTGACCGAGGCAGCGTTTTACCTCAGAAGCTCAGTTTCGTAAATAGTTTGGCCACGCGTCTATATTCGTAAATAGTTTACTAATAACGCTTAATTTCGTAAAAAAATCCAAGGAAATGCTCTCTCTCCAAGTGCAGATTTGATAATTCAGTGAGTTTTGCATTGCAATACTGGTTTATTCAAGGATGGCAGACTCATCGAGTTCAGCTCTCACCAAATTGGAGAATGATGTGAATTTGGCGCTTTAAACATCAGCATCAACGGATCTAGGGACGGGCTAGTAATATTAAATAAATCATATATTGTAGTACCATAAAATTAAAATAATATGTTATTCCAATGTACCGTTGTTATGTTACCTTATATATTTGTTACTCCGTATTTTATAATTTGAAGCATTTTTTAAATTATAACCAAGTAAGCCATATACAAAAGGAGTGGAAAGGGTACCACTCATTAAAGTATTCAAAGGAGTTACTGATATTATAAGTGGTGCTAAATAGGTTAATGACATCATCATCCAAAAAAGCTTTACTTTCCATAGGAGAGTGATTAAGGATGTACAAAAAGGTTGAGGTCGTGCTCCTTTATTGTTGTTGTTGAAGTGAGCAGTATTGTTTTCGCTGTTCACCATCACCATGTCTTTTGAGTCGGGCTGGAGTGGTTGTTCAATTTTTGGACTTGAATTGGCAGTGATGGCTTTGAATGTTGGTTAAAATACAGAGTACAGATCTTTCAAAAAAAAAAAAAAAAACAAAGAACAGAGTACGGGAGTAGTTAACTAAAAAATACGACAATTAAAAAAGAGATGTGATATGGCTATATGGCAACGCGTGGTTCCTGCAAGCGGATGCACCATCCTCATGATGCATACGCTCCAAAACAACGCTTTAAAAAAAGGCGGAATGTACATCACGTTATATCCTAATGTACATGGCTATAGAAAAGAACATAGTGTTCATTTCTAATGTATGCGAGTTTTTTGTGCATCAGTTTTGTAAAAAAAGGAATAGATAAGTAGTAATTATTCTTTTACCATACAATAATTACAACACATTTCAGTTTATTTCTTTACCAAATTAAAGTTAGTTTCTCTCTCCAAAAATTCCTCAAATCCTAAGCAAAACTTCAAGAAACTCCAAATGTGGAGTTTGAATTTGTTCAAGATGATAGACAAAAACGAAAGGTAAGATCAGACTCGACTTCATACTTGTTTATTTTGAGTTCAAGTGTTTTTTTTTTTTTTATAAATTTGGTTGAAAATTGTAATTTTTGGTTATTTTTTATTTGAGAATTAATTTGTGATTTATGTGGTTTTGGTGTTGCAATGAAAAACAATATGAAGTTCTTGAAGAAGACTGACCAATTATAACATTTTGAAAAAAGAAAGCAAGCAAATAAACAAATTCAGAAAAAGTTGTAGATCTAAATAATACAATGTACATTAAAATGCAGTAAAATGTCTTTTTCATATTCTATAGGAAAAATACACTTTAATAATCCCAACTATGAACAATTTACTTTTAGTAATCTCAACTAAGGTTTATTATCTAATAATTCCAACTATGATATGTGTTTGTTTACAATAGTCCCAACCGGTCAACACTAAGTCAACGACCTGTTATAATAGGTTACCATGACATGTGTCAATACGTGATTGGTCCAAAATTTAAAAAAAAATTAAAAAAAAAACATTAAAAAAAAGTTGTCTGCCTTATCCTCCACCACTCCAACTCCTAACCTACACCACACCAATTGACTAACATCACATTCCATGCTCCCACCAAATCCCAGCACCAACCCTAACCTTGCTAAAACCCTAACTCCACCTCTGACCTCGCCGGAAAACCCTCCTTAACCACCGGTTTTGGTGGTTAAGGGGGTTGGACGACCGGTTTCCAACAAGTTTAGGGGTGGGCAGGGTTTCGGTGAGGTTAAAGGGTGGGGGAAGGGTGGTTGGAACTTTTGTTTTTTTTTTTATGTTATTTTTTAATTCTCCATTTTGGACCATTCATGTGTTGACACGTGGCGATTAAAACCGGAAAAAAAAAAAAAAAAAAAAAAAAAAAAAAAAAAAAAAAACCCTTTCAACAGGTCACCGATCATTGGGACCATTGGAGGCAAACACATAGCATAGTTGGGATAATTAGATAATAAACCTTAGTTGGGATTATTAGAAGTAAATCGCCCATACTTGAGATTATAAAAGTGTATTTTACCTATTCTATAAAGCGGAATGAACATATTATAGAAATACAATGAACATATATACAGTATATAGTTACAATGAAAAGAACATACTATTAAAAGAAAATGAACATATACCTAGAGTGAAAATAACATACTATTAACATGTAATGAACATATACCTAGAGTGAAAAGAACATGCTATTAAATAATGTTCTTTATTTTCATGTTCTTTGATTGTCAAAATGTATATTTATTTGTGACATAATGTTAATTGTTTATTTTGAAATGTTTTTTGAAATTTGCCCTTTAGATTATGGTGATTGAATAAAAATAATGTTCATAACATTATATTATCATTTTCTTTATTAATATTACAGATGTTCTTTTTGTTCAATGTTTGTCTTTGAAGTTGGCTTACTTGGCTATGAAGCTAATATTTTTCTTACTCTTATTAAGATGTAATAATCATCACTTTTTTAAAACCTATCTACTTCGTATATGCCTTTTTCTACTTTACAATTTTATGAATTAAATAAACCAATATAATAGAGATACACATTTAATTCTTATATGTGGCTAGCCACATGGTGTGGCCACTTCACATGTAAGACAATTAATTAAAAAATAGGGGGTCACGGACCTCACGGTGACGAGAAAATAGGGTTATCTTGACGTATGTGAATTACTTAAATGAGAAATAGAGGTTACTCTCTTACATAAAGGAATCATTCTTTGATTTTTTAAAAGAAAAAAAAAAATAGGATTTACTCGAATGAACAAATGGGGTTACTTATTGCTAAACTAGTTGATATTACTTATACGATGAATTGAAGTTATTTTAATGGACAAAATGGAGAAACTCTTATGAAAAATTGGGGTTATTCATATATATAAATAAAGATTATTCTCATAAACCAATGTGGCCACACCGTGTGGCTAGCCACGTACAAGACTTACTAAGACTATTTTATCTTCACATGAATTAGACTTCACCATGTTACCATCCACTAAATACTAATAAAGGTATAAATTAATCCATTACAGACTAATAATAATAATAATAATAATTTTCACACATAAAAGTTAAACTGCTTCTGTCTGTTAAGTTTATGTTCAGTGTATGTATATAATTCAAATTAAGCAGATAAATCCAACAACTCCCTAACTAATATATACACAAAAACTCATCTTTTTGAAAAAGTATTACTTTGAAATCTTTAAAATTGACATAATATAATGTCTCTCAAAATGAGATGTTAGCTACATGCTTACATTCCGGCATGTTCTTGCAATTGAAATGGTCAATACCAAAAATGGGATTCCAAAAGATTCTAATTTGTTTATTAAAATGTTCTGCTCCTCTCCCACCATCATAAACCAAATTGTACTTTAATCAATAATTAAAAATATACTTATAATAATTAATTCACTTTGTAATTAATTAACAATATTTTGAAGCTTGAAACCTCGGATTATTACCCCTGGTTGTCAAAAGAAGTGACATTTTTATGTTACACTTACCAATGCTCTATATTTGTCATTAAGTAGACAGCCCAAATGTCAGGTTTTACATTAATTAACCAGTTTCATTATCATTAAAAAAAGTATAGTGCTTGCTAAATTTGCACAGCTAAAATAAAAATTATAAAAATATTAATATAATTTAATTGTTTGATCCAATCACCAAGTTCCGTGTGGCCACTACTTTCCATTTTGTATTAAATAAATTAGTTACTACACCTGAAATGATGATGTAACATGAATCTGAATCTTTCTGGGTTCCATTTAATTTTCCACCTTTTTTTCCTTGTAATTTGTGTAGCTTTATCCAATGGGGGATTAGCATCTAGCAAAGCTTTGAGGTCTTCAATATGGGTGGAAAATCCAAAAAAAGATTAAAAATATATACATATATGTATATATAGAAGAAGGTATTATGAGGAGTTTAAATTTATGTGTTTCTTATAATTGATTGTTATTTATTCATAGAATTATTCATGAATTTTCACATAATTGAGACGAACATTCAAAACTAGTACATAATGTACCCTTTTAATATTTTAGATGTCGTAAGTGATGATATGTTTATCTAACTATAATTCAACATCTAATTTCAATAATTTGTCTAATTTGATGAGATCTAAATCCAAGGATATAATCCTATCATAAAGGATATAACAAAAAACCTGACTCCTCTGCCGCTGAGATCACACCACCATGCACGGAGGGTGGGAAAACCTTTTGGTCCTGGAAGGCTCTTTTCGGTCATATGCGATGCCACCCCGAACGTGAGTGGCGTGGCATTAACCCTCCGCCTCATCTTCGACGCCGTTCTCTTCCTCCCACCCCTACTACAACCACTGATGACCATGAGGTCGCTGCTAGCCTTCTCTTACTCGCTGCTGGTCCTGTCTCCCCTGACGTGGCATTAGCCTCTCCGGCCAGGTTTGAGTGCTCGAGTTGTAAGAAGACATTTGGGTCTCACCAAGAACTCGGCGGTCACCGTGCTAGCCATAAGAATGTCAAGGGATGCTTTGCCATTACCAAGAGTGCAACTGACGTTGAGGATGATCAATGTATGATCATGCAAAGTGGTTCAAGTCATGAGGAGGCAATTGGGCTGGGCCTTTCTTTGGGCTTGGGCCTTGGAGTGGGCCACAAGTGTGGTGTTTGTTTGAAGGTGTTTCCTACTGGACAGGCCTTGGGTGGGCACATGAGGTCCCACTGGGAGAAGAGTGAGGAGCCGGCATTGCGATCGTTGTTTGGGCTTCCACTTGGGTCAGATTCAAGGCCCAATGTGGTGTTGATCTCAACCTACCGGCCCAACTTCTGGAGGATGGTTCTTCTTCTACTACTACTATTGATTCTTCCAATAACATGCAATTAGAGCTGAAGTTAGGAATATAAGGTATACAATTGATTAGGTTAATTAAAATTGTTGTAATACTAATTAATTGATGATTTATCACATATTTAAGTGTTAAAGACTAACTATTTATAGTGTGTGGTGTGGGTTTCATGAAAACATATGTATGCTCATTGTTTTAGGTGTGGGTTCATGTAATATCTCATTTAACACAACGCTTCATTCATCATAATATTATTACTTACTCTTATTACTACTCGTATAACTGTAAACTTTCTCTGTTATAAGGTTGATGTTTCCAATGGCGAATACTATACTATTCCCATGTATAAAATCATCTGTCACATTTTTAGTTGTAAGTGTATATCTGAACTAGTAAGGTGACGATTAAATATAAGCAGAGATAGTATTGATATTGATGTATTTTTTCTTAGTTACGATCATTATTTTGGAATTCATGGATGATCAATACAATGAGCCCATGGACATAAGGCCCATATAGCTTACCTGACCTAATCCATTTAGACTAAACACTTTATGTTCTGTTTTTTTTTTTTTTTTTTTTTTTTTTTTGACAACATTTAGACTAAACACTTATATAGCCTATAATCCAAAAAAATGTCCTTTTTTAAGGTATGTCTATGCAAAGTGTATTAATTAATTAATTAATTGTAATAAATTAATTGTAATAAAGTTAAAGTAATGCTTTGCATACGTCAGTAGGTATGTATTTGTTTAAGTTTGATTTCCTTTTAATTATTCCTTAAAGTATGAGCAAGTGACCATTATTATTATTGCACTCCGTATTATTTATGAATTATGATATTGTGTCACAAAAAAAAAAAAAAAAAACTATTAGTTGGTGAGTTCCTAAATTTAGAAATATTATTAGTTTGAAAGTTACAGATCTAGTAATCAGGACCACTTCACCAACTCGTACTTCATATTTTTGTCATAATTTCTCATCATCAAGCTAATAGGGAACATTTATATATAATGTTGAGGAAGTTTTTTTTTTTTTTTTTTTTTAAAGACTTTAATGCAATCATTAGTAATATCTATATGAGGTGATTGGACTATAGAGAAACACAAGTTTAAATGGTCCCTATGGACAAAAATTTTCATATATTTAGTATATTATTTTGACCTTTACGGAGTAATGAAGGCTTAACGATAGCCAGTTCGAAAAGGACATTTAACTAAACAGTTAGATCAATTTGACATGAAACCGCATGAAATTAGATGATTCTCATCGAACATTAAGATGCTTTAACATGACTCAAGTCATTATAAACCACATCGGCCTACCAACAAAAGGAATTTTGTAGGGAAGTTTTATTGCTCGGTCGCTTATGGCCAGGTTTACCATATTGATCTTTCAACAAAATAGAGATTTATTAAAGAAAACAACAAAAGTATATACACGTAGTGTATTTTTTGAGTTATACTACTACACTGCATTGTGATGTGACTATTTAAGTTATTATTACTACAACTTCCATTCTTCTTTTTTTATTATTCTCCACTTAAAATAAAGAAAAGGTCATCATTTTTAAGAATAACAATAATTCAACTCCTCTTTATTTCTCTATCATTTTTTTGAGGCTCAAATTCTTTCAATCTACCATGCATGAAAAAAGGTTTTATACTACGTTTTGACCTTCTCAAATCCCACCACTTGTAGGATTTATACTACATTAATACCAAAATTGCTTTTTGATATGAATATTACATATATTAGAAAGGTGTTTTGGTTGTTTAAAAAAAAAAAAAAAAAAAAAAAAAGGTGTTAGACTGTTTGGTCCAATTTCCTCTTAACTTTCAAGTGTGAGATGCGAGGTCGAATTTCATCAAGTTTATTACATTAGCATAACACTGATGAGGCCGGCCGTGCTAGTTAATTAATGTCCAAAACATAATATTAAAGACACAAACTTATAATTATAACATAGAAATCAATATATTTTGCTACTTAATTTGCAGGAGACCTATGTTTTATTATTATTCTTATACATAAATAAAATTAGTGGTCCTAATATTAGTAACAAAAGCTTAGAACAGTATGTATAATTAAAACAGTTTGTACATAAATTTATTATATATACTATAATGAGTACTCAATATGTACTAGTACATTGAATATAATACATAAATAAGATAGATGAAGATGTAAATTATATAGAATAATTTTATTACGTACTTTTTTGTTTTCATTAATTGTTTTTGATCTACACACTTAATTATGTATGGATAAGGATCAAGCTAAGTATGTAATTTGGATCCTTCTTTAATATATGTGTATAATATCAAAATTTTTGCCTAATTAAAAGCAAAATACACTTTTTCAATAGGACATGATCTGATCTAACTTCGTATCCTTGTACCCACATGCAAAAGGAATCGTAACATATAATTAAATAGTTTTATATTTACATGACATCATCCAATAATAATTCATAATTTACATAAATTTATGGATTGTGTTTTGTTGATTTAGAGTAGAGTGGTCCAAGTTCTTTCTTCTTGAAGTAATAAAATTAATAAGTACTTGGTGTAAAAAATAACTACTAACTAAAATTTAGATGGAATCTTTTGGTAAACCTAATCTTTCTCTTTGGCCTCTTTTGTGGACTCAATAATATGGACAATATCCCATTATTCCATGTATTTATTTGATGAGATCAATTTAATTAAAATTGTAAAAATTATGCCTCTCCTTGCTCCCTTAATTTTGGTTGAAAATCCCCCTTATTTTAAATAAAATGGTTAGTTAACATCTTTATTTAGACGAGTATGTAATAACATATTAACACTCTTGATTTTAACATAGTTAAAATTATCTTTATCGAATATAATTAAATTCAAACTAATGTATAGAAGTAATAATGAGTTAGCTTATCTGTCATCTTCAAGGTCATGATTAAATTATCCCCGGATATATTAAGCTAATACTCCGTATTTAAGATAGATGGTCCAACCTAAGGGCCCAACATAGAACTATCGGAGTATTCGTAGAAGTTGTACTTGCTAGCTAGATTAGGAATTATTCAGAGAGAAGATGCTGATATTGTGCTTCTATAACTCAAATGAGAAATCTTATCATGAAAAAAAAAAATAACTAAATGAGGATGAAGGTTCTATTATATTCATGCATGTAACTTGTAAAGATGCGTTAAGCAGTTGGTGTAAACATGTGGGACGTAAATCTGTATTGGCCATACAATATGGGTGCATTTTTTTTCGGTCAATGGTATAATTTTGTTAGTGGAATTTTATCTTTTTTTTGAAAGAATTGTGGTGTATTGCTTCCCTTTGCAATTGCAATTATATGGTAGCTAGGGGATGCACCCAAGTTCAAATTATGTTGCTTGGAATCATATATGGTTATATACTAGCTAGTCGATTATGCAGACTATCATATGGTGGTTTTGATTTAATAAAAGAGACGTGTATGTAACTGGCTTGATCTATGTTGATAGTTAAAGGCAAATTAGATGTTTCTAACCATCCAAATAACTACCCGTGGTTTTGTGGGGGGTTTTTGGAAAGCACCTTGTCCTCTTTCCTTTCCAAACCCAAAAAAGTCGAAAATTGTCTAAAGCTGATGAAGATTATAAACCACGCTTTGGACTAATTTTGAATTCTTTATTTTTAAAAAAATAAAAAAAAAAAAATAGAGTGGATATATGAGGCATCCTCGAAATCTTAAAAGTTGGTTTGGAACTGTAATAGGTATACTAATACGTCTATAAAATAAAAAAATTAAAAAAAAATTTGAAAAAAAAAGTCCTAAAAAATGAGTATATTTTAGTGTTAATAAGAGTTGCAAACAATGATTTTGTATGGTTCCCAATTATATTTCATCCTCATTAGCATGATTTAATTCCGTATAGAAAAATGGAGATCCAACAAAGTAGATTTTATGGCTATTATCTTTGCTTTAGAAACATCACTCCAAATATATGGATTAAAGTCCAAGCTAGAGATAATTATGAACTGTGCCATTTGAGTATGAGATTCTTTGACAATGTAATATTTTCCATTGCGTATGTATGTTATAAGGTGTCATAACTGTCATTCACGCAGTATAAAGTAATCACCTAGTATAGCAATTAAGGTATGTAGTTGTTTCTTTATTGTCTCATGTAATAATAAGTGTTATAGTTATGTTTGTCTTTGAAGTTGGCTTACTTGGCTATGAAGCTAATATTTTTCGTACTCTTATTAAGATGTAATAATCATCACTTTTTTAAAACCTATCTACTTCGTATATGCCTTTTTCTATTTTACACTTTTATGAATTAAATAAACCAATATAATAGAGATACATATTTAATTCTTATATGTGGCTAGCCACATGGTGTGGCCACTTCACATGTAAGACAATTAATTAAAAAATAGGGGGTCACGGACCTCACGGTGACGAGAAAATAGGGTTATCTTGACGTATGTGAATTACTTAAATGAGAAATAGAGGTTACTCTCTTACATAAAGGAATCATTCTTTGATTTTTTAAAAGAAAAAAAAAAATAGGATTTACTCGAATGAACAAATGGGGTTACTTATTGCTAAACTAGTTGATATTACTTATACGATGAATTGAAGTTATTTTAATGGACAAAATGGAGAAACTCTTATGAAAAATTGGGGTTATTCATATATATAAATAAAGATTATTCTCATAAACCAATGTGGCCACACCGTGTGGCTAGCCACGTACAAGACTTACTAAGACTATTTTATCTTCACATGAATTAGACTTCACCATGTTACCATCCACTAAATACTAATAAAGGTATAAATTAATCCATTACAGACTAATAATAATAATAATAATAATTTTCACACATAAAAGTTAAACTGCTTCTGTCTGTTAAGTTTATGTTCAGTGTATGTATATAATTCAAATTAAGCAGATAAATCCAACAACTCCCTAACTAATATATACACAAAAACTCATCTTTTTGAAAAAGTATTACTTTGAAATCTTTAAAATTGACATAATATAATGTCTCTCAAAATGAGATGTTAGCTACATGC